TTCCACCTACATGCACTCTTACTATGTGACTCTAAATCACCTGGGCAGGTGAGAGATTAAAATATGAACTGTAATCACTTTCTTTGTAGATGTTATATAACTGATAACACGGTGAAGGTGGTGACTACAGTTGCGCTGTTCGGCTTGGTGTTCCTCTTTAACGTGATCCTATTTGTGACAACACTCTGGCATATTTTGATGCTCCGCCGTGTCAAAGAGGTATGGGTTCATCTTTAAATCTTTATAATGCATCTTTAAATCTTGAAAAGTTTATGAATGTCCACATTTTTCTCATCGGCAATCCCCTTGAAAAGGCCACAAGGAACACGTGTTAAACATTCAGTAGCATCTTTATTTTAAAGGTAAATGAAGTGAAAGTGGGTTACCAGTCATTGAGTTTTTCTGATAAACATTTATCCATCTTCTAGTACATTTCTAAATTGTGTAATGGGTTAGGTATGAACTATTCCTGAGTGTAAATGCTCATCCTTGTGTATTCCTATTGATTTTCTGTCCTTGGTAATATTGCCTGATTAGTGTAAGCTGTGCTTAATGTGTCAGCTAATCACACATTTGTGCAATATAGGCTCCCTATTTTCCTGCATCCTTGTTCATTTGGATTTTCTAGTGTGTCTTTTTGTTGTTTTTCTAGTGTTTAGTGTTGATTTTCCCATGTTTGACTTTTTTGGAACAGTTTGGAATTTGTTTTTTCCCTGCTTCTCACTGAGAATATTTGCCTCAAAGGATACCTTCCAGTGTAATGGCCACTGCCTATCTTGTGCCTAAATTCGTTTTTTACTCCTTAGCCATAAAAGGCTGATGGGGTACTGACATCACCCTGTTGGGCACATAGCCAGACAGGTGGATGGCATGGACACCCAAGTTTGTGAATGCCAAAATTCAACAATGGGGCAACATTGGGTTTTGAAATGGGCACTGTAGGTGTAGCTACTAAAAATCTTGGACAAGTTCAAACCCTGGTGACACTGACCTCAATGTCAGAGCTCAGCCTTTCTAAAAATCACCTAGGATTTACAACTTTATACCATAGGTGTATCTACCAGGAGGCTGATGGGTAGCACTGGAATCGTCCAGTATTTGTATAATTGTACTGTTTTTTACTTACTACCGGCTGTGTGCGAGATACCTCTTCCTTGTGTCAAAGTGCTTGCTTGTATGTTATCAACTTCCATTTAGCATGCTGTATGAGCGAATGAAAGAGTCTAAAGATAATACACAAACTGAAAAAAGAGATGTGATCTCATTCACTGGACAGGAGGCAGTTTTAGTGGTTACTTTTCAAACACATTTAAAAGTCATGTTAGCCTCAAGAGCACAATTTTACATAAGCTGAATAAGAGACATGCTTTCCCTGATGAGATAAGGATAGTGACAACGAGTTATAAAACAGATTTCAAGTTCTCATGATGTTCTACAATTTGATGTTTCATTTTATGCTTGGCAAATCAGTTTGGACAGCGCAACCGTGACCGTGCCAAGAAAGATATTTGTACCCTACTGGGAGTCATCACTCTGCTCGGCATTACCTGGGGCCTGGTCTTCTTCTCTTTTGGCTATCTGACCACTCCTGGCCTCTACCTCTTCTGCATCCTGAACTCATTGCAAGGTCTGCATAACCTGCTGAAAGATGAAATACTTGCTTTCAATTTTTCCATGAATGTTTGTAAAGTGTATGAACGAACTGTAACCAGGCACAGTCTTTACTACTTTCTCTCCTTTGTGTGATGCAGGTTTTTTTATATTCCTGTGGTTTGCGATGTCACTGAGAAAGACTAAAAATCCCCGTGCTATGACAACCAGTGAAACGGCTACCACGGGCAAGTAGTTTGAACAACTACCAACTCATCAAGAAGCTCCCATGTTTGTGTAGTTTATATGTAATATTGTAAGATGTTCCTACTAACATGTGTTTTCATTATTAATAATATGTCATATGTATGATTTAAAGCCAAAAGAATGAATCGAAACAAATCAAAACACTCAGGTCAACAATGAACATCATGCTGTTGTAAGAAAGTTGTAAAGTTTTTGCCTTGCAGGACGAATATAAGCTTACATAAGTGATATTAATCAAGGTTCTATATAATGTGATTTACATTAGTAATACTGTTAATAGGCTACATGTATAAATATACATCAGTGTAGGGTTTCTTTTCTCAGCTGTCACAAATTGGAAGATTCAGGAATTTATTGTACACTAACTGATTCCATATGTTCCTTAGTCATGAAGTGATGATTTTTTACTGGTTGTTCTCATTCATACGAATTACCACAATAAGAGCATTGGAGTAAACCAATATATGCCACTGCAAAATATATGCACATTTTGCAGTGGGAACATATCAGACACCCTGCGCAACGTTGTGAAGGAGTCTAGAATAAGTGTCGGCAGGATTATCAATTTTCTTATCCTAATTATTATTATAAACCTTTCCTTGATATGATGAAATTTTCCACTGAGGTCAAGAAAAATACACCTTCTGCATTGCCTACTGATGTGATTTGGCTTTGGAAAGTACCTGACCTGGTACTGGTTTAGTCCTTTGTAGTGTCCTTTGTACATCTGAACGAGCATTGTTAATTCACTAAATGCTGTGACATTAATATCATCAATAAAAGAAAATTAAAATTGTTTATGTAACATGTTTGTCAAGGGTGTAAGTGTGCGGCAGGCAGAGGTGTGGATCCAAAACACACGACTCTGCAACACAGAACAATGGCTTTAATGCTGGTGAAAAGGGCAACAAAAACAAAAGGCAAAAATACCAAAGTAAACTGCACCAGACGTAAAATAAACTCACTCACTATAAGCTGAACTGAAGGGAAACAATGAGGATCTTCAAAGTTCAAAACACATTCCAGTTTCAACAGGTGGCGTACCTGCTGCTTCTAGGCAGCAGGTACGCTTCTAGAGTAAATTGTAATTAATGAATTAATGTTTTATTGACATTACCACTTCTATATATTTAACCTTTATTTTTACAGGTTGTCCCAATAACATTCACGATTTACAAGAGTAATTACACCCCCATGTGTAAAAGAAAACAATACCCTATATCTCATTATTATTTTTGCTGTAGATTGTGAAGACCAATACAACACTGGAATCAAAAGTGTAATCAAGTAAATATGATATAGAAGTTTGAATAATATTTAAATACATTATTCAGATGATTTCTGTAGAAGGTATTTAAACCCAAGGCTGTGCCAGGTTCAGTAGAGACTTTGCCAGTTGTTTGCCCCGCGATGCCTTCTCTCACCGATCTTGGGTTTTTGTTCTTTTTTGATAAAAGGATGTTAGCTACGTTCACCCTTTGTCTGCAAGCATTATTGAATGGAAAACTTCCACAACAAGATGGCATCACGAACAGGATGGTCCATGTGGTTGCTGAACAACGGTTCCCGGGACGGGCTCATCACCCCTGAGGGAAAAGGTACCTTTGTCCTCCCGGCTGTTGAAGTGAGGAAATGGAGGAGCCTCTAGACTGTGTTTTAGCCACCACCGAGACATTCGACTCTGAGGGGACTCCTGCAGATGGGTGGGCTGTAGCTAACTTATGTACAGTCCTGGAGACTTTTTGTCTGGCCGCGGTGGAGCGCCTGCAGACTCCGGAGTTCGAGGAAAAATCCTCGGGTTCAAGTCCCCAGGCCTGTGTTTGGTTCTGGGCCATCACAGGGAATGGTGGTTCGAATCCACTGTTGATAATCATTTCCGCGTACCGCAATGCGTTAAGTGACGGTATTTTAGCACTTTTCTGCCGGGAATGGAAGAAGGCCATTGCAGAGGATGCTCTGAATGTAAAGGGAAGCTTGATCCAGTAAGCCGGCGGGCGTTCCAGGGACAAAGCTCAATATCTGACTGTATGTCAAGAAATGTGGGTAAAAGTATGTTGTGTTAGATGGCAGGGAAGGGTTTTGTGGGAAAGGGTTCAGCATGAACCAGTTGAAAGTTAGAAAAGCAGTTGGAGAGAAAGAAAAAGAGATGTTTGAGAAGTGAGTTAATAGGTTGATGTGTGGGTGAATTTTTTTAAAAACAATGGTGTAAAAACAATGAAAAATAGGAAATAAAGCAATGAAAACTAAAGAAAAGGAGAGGAGACAGTGTGTGTGTGAGAGGGGAATTGTCTCCAACTAGTGGGAGAAGATGGTACTGCAAGTCACCAGCTATCATTGGTGCACACAAAAGAAACAAAATAGGAGTGTTATAATATTATGAAGAGCAATGTTCCTTCTAATTTTTCATGTGTCTGAGCGAACACACAAACTCCCTGAGTGGTCCTTTGGACCACTGTGAGCAACAGCAGACGTGTGCACTTTGGTCACGCCAGCATCGAATCCATCCAAGTTACATGGTTTATTAAAATAATCAAATTACAACATTTACATTTATTGTGAGACTACCTGTGTGGTTATAACAATAAACACAGCAGCCTTTTCTCTTTCTTTCTTTATTTTTAGAAAGAGGGGCAATACATATTAATGAACATTTTAACAAATGTAAATATGCCAGATTATAGCCTTGGACTAATTTCCATCTGCAGACCCTCTGGCAGGTTGGTGTTGGTTTATGTTTAACTTTATAAATTGATTTATTGTGAGCAACACGAATGTTTGCAGTAAAACAGGAACTAACACAGAGAGAGAGACTCAGACACGTGGGCTTGATTCTGAGACCAGAGAGAAACAACATGAAAACATGACAGACCGGAGAAACAAAGGAACGGTACACAGAGAAGACACTCAGAGAGCTAGGAATAAAGAACATGACCAAAAGATTTAACCAAAAACCTAAGTGTTTCTGTCTAACATCGAAACACATTCATAATCTGATCGATGGGTCAGAGAGCAACTTGGTATTAGTATCTTGCCCAAGGATATTTGGTATGCAGACTGGAGGAGACAGGGATCAAACCATCAGTCTACAGATTAGTAGGTGACCTGCTTTACTTCCTGAACCACAGAATAACTGTATCCGGTATCATAGATTGTAAGTGGAATCATGTGTGAAGAGATTTCACCTCCATAAACAGCAAAGGCATGGTTTGTGACACAGGAGAGTTGCACTGTTAGGTGATTTAGTTAATTAATCTGACCTTAGCACTGCTGTTATGTTGCAGGTCAAATTGACCCACTTTAAGAGTTAAATAAAAGTGCAGGTTGAAGGGTTCAGATGTGTCAAAAGCTAATGTGAGACATATTTCACCACAAACAAA